TTGAGCACGCGCAAGTCCTAGCCTTTTCACGAGCGATCGGAGGGGTAAATTCATAATGCCCTTCTTTTACTTATTTTATGTCTGATATGGGATATTATATACTCAAGGATAAACCGATCTACTCCACCGGTTGAGAAGATCAAACTAGGAGGAAGTCAAGACGAGAAACGGGAGAATCGATCATGCATATAGTCGATCAGGCAGGTGGTCGACCAGTCCATCACACGACCAGAAAAGTGATCGAGCAACCCATCGCTCGACCAGATACATGATCGGGCAACCTATTCGACCTCAACAGGCCGATCGCTTCGAGGAACCAACAGTCGGCCTAGTCATGGGCGCGTGTATCACGGGCGCGCGTAAGAGCCTCCAACTGAGTCCCAGGAGAATATTTACCCAATGTACAGGGGGGACACGTGTCGACAATGTATTGGGTGATAGCGATAACCACCTCTGACAGCCCCCAACGCCCCGCGCCACCTCTGACATGTGCGCGGCGTGCCAGAGTACGGACGGGCAACTTGGGCAGCCAGCTCATCCTTATCCAGGCAGCTATTAGGGCAGGTATCTCACCCCTATATAAAGGGGGTGAGCCTTTTTACTTGAACACATTCTATTTTCCATACTTCACTTCAGCATACTCATACTCATACTGACTTAAGCTCGGAGGCTCTTCACCGGACACAACCCCCAGTGTGAGAGTTATTTGCAGGTTTCCTGCGTTCTACCGGCGAGGACCAAGATCTATCCGTTCGAATCGGACCCAAGACGCTTACACTTGTATTATTGGCGCCGTCTGTGGGGATTCTTTGTTCAAAAAGTTGTGTTTGAAGCTCAGCTATGGCGGACGGGATTTTTAAAAACTTGCAGTCGACGTTCGATGAAGCTTGGACGACGACCAGGCCGTTGGGGCACGGCCCTTTTCTGGGCTTTTCCGGCCCATCGCAGACTCCGGTCACTCCCGCACCTAACTTTCAAGGTGTAGGAGTGACGACGGTGATTCCCGGAGGAGATGCCAGCTCCAGTCAGGCCCAGGAGGCTCGTGTAGCAGCAGCAGCGGTGATGCCACCACCACCACCACCAGATCCAACACAAGGGCAGGGAGGAGTGCTGGCGCAAGGAGGAGTGACACCACAGGCAGCCATACAAGCCCCCGGCTAACAAATGGTGGCAATGACCCGAGAGGAGATGCAGAGGATAGCGGCGGCTGCGGCGGCGCAGGCGCTGTAGCAAGTTGCGAGTCATACATCTCATGCCACCACTGCACCGAC